AGCCCTATTGTAATTATTCAGGCCCCAACATCAACATCTTCAAGACCCAGCACCTCAAAACCTAAAGCCGTCCCAAGCCACTGTGCCCCCGTGACTCTGGCACGCATCTTCTGCCCCAGTGCCCTCAACGAAAACCCTGATTAAGCCTAAGGTTTCGGATTCAGGGCACACTATAAAGCCTCAATGCCCAAAAACCTCCAACCAAAACCCCTCTGCGAGGTTCTGAAGACCCTGAACCCTAAACCCTAAAGAAACCCAAGCCGAGACTTCCCGGAGTGGCCTTGAGGAGCACCGCGCAATTCTGAAATTCTTACACGAAGAAGAGAAACTGGAGTTTAGGATTGTGGAGTTTATGTTTAGGGTTTAGGGTAGAACAAACCCGTTGACCCTACACCCTGCACGTTAAAGCCCGAAACCCGAGACTCTGAAGGCTTAAGTCCTAGCCAAAAACGCCCCCGAGAGGCTCTGTAGAGATTGAAGCCATGACAACAAAGCCCTTACTTGCAGCACCCCAACTCCTCGGTAGTGTTACGGAGACGCCTTAAAGGGGACCCTTCTTCAGCCTACTTATGGCTCTCTTCTAAAGGACCTTATCGAGAGGGTCTATGTCCCCCAAAGGGGCCCTAATCCTAACTCTTACTAACAAAAACGAATTTCAACCCCAAGAGCCCCTTCCAAGGCTTTGAAAAGCCTACAAGCCCAAGCCCCTGAACCTAAACCCTAAACCCTAAACCCTAGACCCTAGACCCTAGACCCTAAGCCAGACAACCGCTATAGAAGCCTTCTGGGGACCCTGACAAAACGACCGCAAAGCCCTAAGCCCTAAATGTCCTGCCCTAAACCCAACATCCTAAAGCCCGACCCCTAAACATCCCCAGTAGTAGCGTCGGCAGCCTTAAACCTTTTCTTACGGGCTGAGTACGTAGGTAACCTTTAACCTTCTGGGGCTTAGATATGCCTACTAAGATTCAAAAGGTTAACAGGTTAACCTTTTTTGGGCCAGGGTACTCAGCCCCTATGTTTTTGGGTTACGAAAAGCCCCAACCTAATCCCAAAGCTTGCTTGGCCCTTCGGATACTGGAAAGATCCCTTCAAGGAGGCCCTGACAGTGCCTTTGAAGGAACCTTAAAGGAGCCCTAGTTCCCCATGATACTGGACAAGTAGGCATTTTTCTTGGCAGGCTCTAAGCCCGAAAATGCCCAACGTCCTAAGCCCTAAGTGTCCTACACACCCCCTGAACATCGCTGCGGACCAAAAAGGCACAACAAAGGCCATCAAAACTGAACCCTAAACCCTAAACCCCAAACCTTAAACTCTAAACCCAAAAGCCCTCAACCTCAAGCCTAAACCCTAAACCCCAAACCTTAAACTCTAAACCCAAAACATCCCTTTGGCAGGCCCTGAAGAGCCGGCTCAATCACTTCCTAACGTCCATCTGAGCAGCGCGAAAGAACCCATTGCAGAGCCCACGCCCCGGAGACGGTTTAGGGTTTAGGGTTAGGGTATAAACCCTGGATTTATATCATCAACAGTAGTTAGTTACTCAGTAATTTGTACAGGGAGTCTCCGGGAGGGCTTGGAAAGCCGAGGTATGGGGCCTCGGACCGATCTAAGCCCGGGAGCGAACGTTCGAAGTTTCTGTAGGGTTTAGGCTTAAGGCCTCTAGGACTTTAGGGATTAAGGTTCAAGCTTCTGGGTTTTGGTGGTTTAGTGGTTTTTTGGGTTGGGAGGGTCTTGATGTCAAGGTTTGTTGGGTGTTTAGGGGTTCCTGCTCGGACAAATTTGCGAGCCGCTGAGCGGCGTCGCCCTGAAACGTCAAAGCCTTCCAAAGCGGGAGGATCGTTTTCGCAGGACTGCGCCATGAGGGTCTAGGATTTAGGGTTGGTTATTATACGATCCTTAAGGGAGGGTGGCTCAAGGGGGGAGGGTCCTAGGGATTCTTGGGGAGCTTTAGGGAACCTAAGGGAGTACTAGGGAGAATTGGGGACTACTGGGTTATATGCCCCCCTTAGAACCCCCTCCCTTAAGGATTCCATAAGTTGGGGGTGCATCCATGCAAACTCTTAGGGCACAAGACCAGGCAAGATGTGCAGAGCATGCTGTAGGCTGTCGTGAGGCTGACCTAAAGCAGTGAAGACGGATGCCCCGGAGCTCTATACCTAGAGACAGAGACATCTATGCATAAATGCACCTTCATATATGCCCGCATGAATAAACAAGCAAATAGTTAATAGATAAGAACGAAATGTGTGTGTGTATATATATATATATATATATAATATGTCTATGTATATGTAAACACCACATAGACACATCCATCGGAATAAAACATCATGTCAGCATTAAAGACGAAAAGCTGCATATTATGGTTTTGATATGATCTGTATTATGATATACTGTATATGAATCTGTTCTATTCCATTTTCTCGTAGTGCACTATATTATAGAACGTTCTATTCTAGTATATTCCAGTCTACTCTATCCTATTCTATTCTGTTCTGTTATGTTACATTCCTGTATGTATATATATATATACACACCTATCTGCTCGATCCTGATATATTCTGTTATTTTCTACTCTATTCTATATTTGTTCTAGCACATTATGGTGTGTATTTGTATAAAAATATAGTCTAGTTTAGCCTGTTCCATTATATTACATTCTGTTCTGTTCTAAGCTATGTCTAGTCAAGTCTTTTCTAGTCTGTCCTATTCTATCCTACCCTGTTCTGTTATGTTGCATTGCATTCCATTATATCATTGTTCGTTTTCTACTACATTATACCACACACTATCATAAAACACTATAACAGATGGTATGTACAAATAAAGAAATAGTTGCATAAACCAACAAACAAGTAAATTAAGTAAATAAAGACAGTTAAGTAAGTAGTAAATACATAACATGTAAAAAACATATGCGTATCGCCGGAAATCCTGAAAAACATCAGCCTTCTTGGCTGACGAGGCGGGCTAGTTCCTGCAATCCTCCCTGCCCAGAAGAATCTCGTAGGGTTCACACTACAATCGAGGATCCGCCACGCATCCAGAGCCGAGAGTTTAGGGTGTAGGGTCCAGGGTTTAGGGTTCCGTTGAATAGGGTCGGTTTAAGGATTAGGGCTCAGTGGGTTGTATTAAAGGTTGAGGCAGCAAGGTTTAGGGTTTACCAGACTAAACCCTAAACCCTAAACTCTCTAAACCCTACACCCTAGACTCTAAATCCTAAACCCTAATACCTAAACCTTGAAACTCCAAAGCCCTAAACATCCCGAACTCCCTCAAACCGCTAGATATTTGCAACTAAACCCCTAAACCCTAAAACCTAAACCCTACCGCAAGCTCCCAGAGGTCCTCTAGCGCCCAGGTCATCCCCTGTTTACCTTGGTTTGGTTTCAGCTTTCTTAGGGTTTTGGGTTTTGGGTTTTGGGTTTAGAGTTTAGGGTTTAAGGTTTAGGGTTTAGGGTTTAGGGTTTAAGGTTTGGGGTTTAGGGTTTAGAGTTTATTTTTCTCTCCCACCCCTTTTCCCCAGAAGTCCAGAGATATCCACTACCTTTTCACTTCGGGACCTTACTCACGAAAGTAGGGTCCGGGTCGGGGGTATGTCAGAACGATCGGGTCGGGGGTATGTTAGAACTTATGGGGGTTTCCCAAAACAGGGGGTACCTCATTTTGGACCCATCCTACTATCTGGGGTACTTTATTAGGGTCCCCTATTTCGGAAACCCCCTCTTACACATCGAATAAGGAGCGCTAAGGAGGAATATTGGTATTCATTGAGGCTTCTATGTAATGGGCTACCGTAAAGATGCCATACCAATAGAAACTGTATAGGCTCCGTCACGACCCACAGACCTATCTAGGGTGTCAGGGACCTTGGGGTTTAGGGTGCTAGGGACCTTAATATCTAGAACCTAAGCGGAATAGAACACTTCAAACAATATTTTAGTGGCTGAGTAAGTAACCTTCAACCTGTTGGGGTTTATATAATCCTACCATAATTGAAGAGGTTAACCTTTTTTGGGCTAGGGTACTCGGCCCCTAAAATATAATTACCCAAGGCTGCTCGATAGGTCACTTGGTTTCCAGCACTGGCTGCGGGGCCCCCGGATCCAACCGAGGCAGTAACGAAAACCAGGCCCACAGCAGTTTCGTCGGCACTAAGCGGGTAGGGTTTAGGGGGTCGAGGTAGGTTTTGGCTTTTGAGGGTCTCGGGTTTAACTTTAGGAGTGTAAGACTTAACGTTTGCGGTGCAGGGCTCAGGGATCTTGTGACAATCTGGTCTGTCGTCGTTGAAGTGGGAGCTTTAGCAGCGGTCTTAGACATTATCGTTGTGGCGATAACAGTGGTGGTGTTTGTCCTGCTGTGGCAGCGGTAGAGACAATTAATGTGGTGGTGCTTTGTTCTTGTGTTTTTTTTCGTGGTTGTTTTTGTTGGGGTCGTTGTCACTGTTGTGGTTGTTGTCGCTGTGATTTCTGCGGTTATTGCTATGATGGGTGCAATGGGCGTGATTGGTGCGGTGAAATAGGAGTCGCCATCGATCGCAGCATACAGATGCCCGGCCTCTCCACTTTAAGCTGGAACCCCAAAGCCTGCACTCTAGGTTTAGATTATTTTTCTGGAATGGCTAGTGGCTGCTGACGCGCCAGTGGTTTATGGTTTATAGGGGCCTGCACTCTAAACCTAGTACTGTTGGATGAGCATGAGGAAGGTCTAGTTCGAAACTTTGCGGGCCCGTGCCGGCAAGAGAGTTGAAGCTCCTCTGCCAGCTTAGAGCACGTTTCATGGAACTGGGAACTGTCGCCATCCGCCGGAGAAAACCTGCGGCGATGATGCCCCGAGGGAAGTGTCGAGGTTCTGCTTCTCAGATAATACAGAAGCCTGAAGACTGCATCATGCTTCTGCATTCAAGAATTGCCAATATTATTTGTTAGGGGTCGGCTCTGTATTTATCATAGTATCATATATCCCAAAACCCCATGTCAATTCATAAGGCCCCTCTATTATGGAGCTGTCAGGTTTCAGGGTTTGTGCGTGTCAGCACGTTGGATGACAGCACTATTGGGGAGTTCTCTAAACTTGAGTCCTTTTGAGGGTCCTTTTTTTAAGGGTGCCGTACTATTTTGGAATTGTTAAAGGAGACCCTGATTCGGAGAATTAGTCACATGCGCTGTGATCACTCGTGATGCATGCCAGACTAGAAGCTCTGGAACTACCAGTAGATCTGCATAGAAGAAGCGCAGAGGCTTTGCAACTGCAGACGTCTCAAGTAACAAAGTGATCTAACCTGTGAGCCCAGCTCCAGTGCGTCGGGTTCCACTTGCTGCTGGGATCCGGGTCTGTGTGTGCGCGTGTGTGTGTGTGTGTGTCTCCATCTGCTTTCGCACGCATGCGGAGCACGTCTGTCAGTCTATCTACCTACTTACCTGCCGTACCTACAGGTACCTACCTACCTAGCTACCTACATGACATACCTATCAACCTGCCCAGCTGGCCAGAAAGAGCTAGCTAGCCAGCCAGCTACCGGCCTACCTACCCCATCTATCTACCTGTCTGTCTGTCTGTCTGTCCGTCTGTCTCTTTAGTATCCTTATAGATCATTGAAGATACGCTCTATCTTCAACACCCAGGACCCTAAACCCCAAACCCTAAACTCTAAACCCTAAACCCGAAACCCCATTCTAAACCCTGAACCTTAAACCCTAAACCCTAAACCCTAAACCCTAAACCCTGCCTGCTCGGAGGCAGCTATCCCTTTGTCTTCAGTGGCGATTGGACTGTCCCCTCCTCGGCTTGGAGGTTTTAGGGTTTAGGGTTTAGGGTTTTAGGGTTTAGGGTTTAGGATTTTAGGGTTTAGGGTAAAGGGTTTAGGGTTTAGGATTTAG